AATGATTTTGAAAAGAAATATTGCGTTTTTTTCATATATATGTAATTTAAAAGTAATATGTTTAACAGTTATATGTGAAAGAGGTAATCGATCAGTTTGTAATGTAACTGTTGGAAGAGCGAAGTAGGCAGACCTAATTAAAAAATGTGTTACGCATTTCAGTAACTGTTGTGGCTATTCGGTTACATTTGTTTTCAATGTTTTTCTTCGTGTTCGTAGAGGCGAGCAGAGGAACGGACGACTATTAACGCCAGCATATTGTGTGTGTATTCAAGTATGCTAGTTGCGGCAATATTTGTTGTTTCACTTAACGTTAATTGCTGGCAGAGTGGAATTAAGCCAGAATTAGCGGCGTTTTTCCCACACTGAGTGGGATTTGCTCAGCCAGTGTCTGCCGTGTTAACAACGAAAACCAGAGATTGACCAGTTTTTGTTAGCGAAAATTGCTGTGATGATCCCTCCACAACAATTTTCATTTTCCCAGTGGTCTCTGTTGACTGCTGATCCAATGAGCTACGGTCCTGGATCTATTGTTTACGTTCATCAAGCCGTATCAAAAGAAGTGGTCGCCTGTTGCCTTTTGACTCGACGTATTCAGTCGCATAGTATTTGTGAGTAGTGAGCCAGTAAACGCGACGACTGTCGATGACACTTAATATATCCATCCGATAGTGATTATGATTCTATGTGAGCCATTACGACGCATTGGTATGCCTTTCCATAATCCTTTAGGAAGATCTCGCGCGATTCCGCGAACTGCTGAAGCAGGGCTGGTCGTCCACCCTACTTGAAGTAATTGCTGTATTAGTCATCGCATCATTTAGAAGATGCACTTAACTACTGGTGCCTGCCTGCTCCTCCTTCCTTCATTGCGTCGAATCCGAAATTAAGGTTGCCGAAGAAATGATTCACGAGATGCACGCTCTCATTACAAATACATTCAGTAGGGTCTCGCAAACAATTGTTTTGCTCCAGCAATGCGCACCCGAAAATATTATACTGTAGCCGCGCGTGTTCTAAACATTCTATATGGTCTCTGTTTTGTGTGTTTTGCAGACTTGAGCAGTTGGAATGGAAGCATTTCGCAGAGTTGGAGGAAACTGCGGCGGTGCTGCGCCTCGCTGAGGGCAACGAGCGCCCAAAATAGTCCAGAGCCGTGCAGAGACGCACTCCTGGATAACCAGAATCAACACATTCTAGTCAATTTACCCCAAATGAGTGTCCTGAGCACATCCAAGAGGAACAGCATGCATGAGGTGATCCGGTCCAAGCTGAGCCGGATTCATGTTGGCCTCAGGAAGCGCAGGGCTTTGTCCGTGCAGGAGGTCTTCCACAGTCCAACGCATGATCAGCCGACCTTCTACGTGCCGTCGCCGAACGACAAGGCCAACGATTCAGGATCGACATCCTTACCCTTAATCGACTGTGATTTGCCGGAGAAGCAGAACCATCGCAGCAGACCGAGGTCTCGCCATCGCGATATCATTGCTCCGAACCTTATCCATGACCATGGTTACCACAGCTACGAGAGTCAAGGATACGACTCTCTACCCTTTGAGCCGGAACCAGACTATGACGAGAGTCCGTGGACGCCGCAGCAGAGACCCTGCCAGCGGCGATGGTCTGTCGTAGATGGTCTTATTCGCTTCACCACGTCTCAGCAGCCGAAAATGCCACCTGCGGGTAACCACGACTCCGGCCCACCGTCCATGCAGTTCCATCACGAAGCCAAGCCGACCATCGAAACTGTAATGAACAAGATCCCCAAGGCCAAGCTCATACCCGGTAAACACCAAGAGCACCGCGCTCGCTCGCATTCCCCAGCTAAAAATAAGACGACAAACAAGAAAGACACGAAGTCTACTCCAGCCAAAGATAACGCACCGAAGAATTCTAGCGCTAAAGTGGTGGCTTCGAGGAGTCATTACGGCTGTTTCACGAGCAGCGAACAAAGACCGGAAGTCACACAGAGCTCCGACTACGATCGGATAAACAAGCACCACAGGCAGGTATGCAACATTGTTCGGATATTACGATTACATTTACACTCATAATTAGTTCCACGTATTTCTCCCATTGTTCTCTAACGCCGTAGAGCCTGGGATGCGTACGATAGACATGCAGAATCCTTATTATACTTGAATTTCTCTTTCATTTCATTAGCAGGAATGGTTGGAGGAATTGGAGGAGGCAGAGGAAGAGGAGGAGGAAGAAAGCAAATTCTGTACGTTGCCCAGAGGAGGCGGCAGTTCCTTCACCATACGACAAGTAGCTTTCCAGAAAGGTCCTGGCTTCAAAGCTTTAGGCTTCAGCATCGTAGGTGGTCGAGATTCGCCCAAAGGTAATATGGGAATTTACGTGAAGACCATATTCCCTAAGGGTCAAGCTGCTGATGGTGGAACTCTTAAAGAAGGTATACAATTATCCATAAACTATTTGTTAAATGCTACCTTCACTTGACTATGTAATCTACACTAATTCTCTTGTATCACAGATATGTAACAATTGTTTTCTTGTATAGGTGATGAAATTTTGGCGGTCAATGGGAAGGCAATGCATGGCGCTTCCCATCAAGAGGCTATTTCGGTATTTAAGCAGATCAAGAGTGGCCAGGTGTTGCTGCACGTCGGTCGCAGGATGTCGAAGAAACGGCGCGACAAGATCCCTCCAGCTCTGTAATTGCCATGGCGAGCTCCGCAACATTCCTACGTGCTATGTCTCTATTCCAAAGATTATCAACTTAAAGAAGAAGCATAAACAAAGAAAGATATTCTAAGATGCAATTAAACTTGGTTATCCAATTATATATGTAATTATTAACAAACAAGTAAAAAAAAACAAATCTATATTACAATAATTTTTTATAATATATAATAATCGATTTTTTTATAATATTTTTATAATATTATTTTGTGTATAAGCCTATATATGTATATATTTAATATTGATGTTTCTTTTGATATTCAAACAAACGAGATAAGAAAAAAAATATTAACACAAAAAGCCAACAACTGAGTGAATTATGTTATAAACAATTGTTAACTCTGATTTTGTGACTCTCTATTAAACATTAAAAATTATAGTATTGTTTAGTCTGTATTCCTCGAATGAACATGAATAAGTGAAAAGAATAAAGTAAACGGATATCTTGTGCTTTTTTTCGGCCTGAGAAAAAGTCGCCAATGATTGCAGCTTCGCCAGTGAACTCTTTGTTTTTTCTATATTTATATGAAAATGTAATCGAGGCAGCGTTCAAAATAAGAATTGATAATATTATGGAAATTCAGTCAATATAGATGAAGATGAAAAACAAGAAAGTTAAAATCTGCTACCTCCGCAAATTGTGATCTGCTGATATATTAGAAGAAAGAAAAAAAAACGTATAAAAAAAGCAAATAATATTATATATTCGTACTATAAGTTTTAATTTATTGGGTGCATATTGTTATTACATAAAAGAATAAAAGAAATATTAAATAAACGCTTTACAAATAATTATTCCTTTTATTTTAATCTTTAGTCTTTTCAGAGTAATGTAAAATCTGCAAAAGTATATTTTAAAAATTAATAAATTCTATATTTCATATTATTATCATTTAATTTCATCAAAATGGTGACTTCTTTTCAAAGAATACATTTTATAAACAATAAAAAATAATTGTACAATTGTCAACTGAATATTTTGCCATTTGAACCAAATTATGTCTTTCTTAGCTATTATTTTCTTATATAAGAATAAAATTAAAATGATTTATCTACAATCATTGTATATGATTCTAGAACACAGTTGAACTTAAGGTTGCCTATTGTAACAATTTATTAAAATCCCAAAGCCATATTTATCCTAGGCAACCCAATATGTCTTTATGAAATACATTACAGGTATCCCCCGACTTACGAACTCCCGGACTTACGAACAAAATACATGGTGATAAAAAATTAACTGTCCAAACAAAAAATGATAATTTCTTTAATAAAATATAATATATTTGGAAGATATACTATCTGTTTTGTAGCATTTGTTTTTATTGTCGTTTTTTATTAAATAATTGTGATGTCTACATTGAAAAGTATTTGCAAGTAAGTATTTTGTTTATTTTAATATATTTTTTCAAAAGTATGCAGTCAGTAATACGAAATTTAACATATATAAAAGTAAAAACCATGAGAAATTTTTCAAATTCCCCAGACTTACGAACAAATTCGACTTACGAACAACGCTTTAGAACAGAACTAGTTCGTAAGTCGGGGAATACCTGTATTGATATCTTAAGTGAAGTCGTATGTATATATTATACAACTATTTATTTATAGAACAAAAGATCTTATCAGTATCACGAAAATCCGATACAAAAGATCGTAGAAATAGGGTTAAAGACATTTATATCAATATTAAATTGATATAAGTCTCTTTATTAAAAAAAAACAAAACATCTGAAATATTCACCCTACATGGACTTCTTCAGTAGTAAAACACGTTATGCATTAATATGTTTGAATACATTTATAAGCAGTCGTAAAAAAGCGCAAACAAAACTATTAAATTGACCATATATTTTATTGCCTGTTTTATGGCAGCTCGTAAATGTGCAATGCTTATTCTAATACTATTAGTTTCGTAATTAAATGAATTTTATTGCAAACGAATAATTGGTTGCCTATAGTCATTTGTATCTATTTTAATTATTTTAACTTTTGGCGCAAGCTTAGTGAAGCGTCCAGGAGAAATGAAAAGAAGAATAATTTAGCTATTGGTGGCTATGGTCGCCTGTATCTGATACGAAAGGTCGTTGGTTCGATTCCAAAAAAACCAACAAACATTTGTGTTGTTTTTTATAATAATAAAAAAAACATTAGCTATTGACAATTAATCATATCTTATAAGATATGATGATTTTGTGCACGCATTTAGATGGTGCATTTAAAATATTATTGGTTCAATTTAAGATCGCAGATGGCGCTAGTTGACAATCACAATTGTGGCTGCAACATGTAATGGTCGTTAATTTCGTTGAAATTTTGTAGTATTTCACATTTTCTAACTTTTCCTTCGAGTTTTAAGTAAGATGGAAGAATTTCTGAAGATGTTTATGTCCAAAAAGGCGATTACGAAGACTGTGAGCTTCTTTCAGCGTACACACCGGAATAGACAGACGAACATGTTTTGATGAGGAGAAAGTCTCTACGAGAATTTGTGTGGCTTCGTGAAAAGGTAATAATGCTACCGTTTAAGTAGACTCAGATAATAATAATTATCTGTTTCAGAACCCGGGAGTCAATGTTTCATCATCCACGTACTGGATGTAAACTTTTGTCGTCATGCTGTATAGTGGACTGCAGCTCTGTGGTGTCTGAACCAGAGAATTTATCCTGTCCATTGCGGAATGGCAGAGGAAGAAGGTTACTACCGAAAGCGATTCAAGCAAAACAGAATCATCGGATTGTGCTTGTGGCGAAGAAGAGGACACAGTCCAGCGTTTCTGGTTCCGCTGCCCTTTGCACACTACCTGGAGACGCAGCGCAGAGAGGCGAATGACTCTACAAGGCCTACCATAGCCACATAGCGAAGAAGATGTCATCGAAATTGCAGAGGAAGGCGCCGAATGGTGGTGTGCGTTTGGTCGGGAAGCCAAATGCCTCGAGAAACTTGATCACGACGTGTAATACAAGCACCAAGGAATGTGCTATGCTTTTGCAGCTCAATAAATAAGTTGTATAGTGGACTTCGCTAGTATATATTCTTCGTTTGGGACCCATCCATCATTTTCCAACTGACTCTCCTTGTCGGCTATTTGATTGCGACCATTCCTGAATTTGGAGCTCTGAAGGCATCATTCTGCTGCAAATATACTTGTCGAAGACGCCGCGCAGGATAATCGAAAACGAGAACTTATCTCTGCCATTTCTGTCTGTAACTGAATCCATCGTATATATCCTCGACGCTTTTATGTCTAGCGCCTATTCAAGCTTTAATATCTTTATTTTAACCGCTTTCTTCACGAACCTGGCCGTGTCCATCTGCATCCGAAGATATATAAATATATAAACGAATTTTATTTTTTTAATTTTTAGTATATATTTTTTTAAATTTACTTTCACGTTTTATATATTTTTAAAATAAGTTAGTTTTATACATTCAGAATTAGAATAAATATATTTTACAAATAAATTTATATTTTATTACCAATTTAGTTTAAAAAAAAACTGATATTTGTTCATCATCATTTTCTTAATTCACTTCAGATTATTTTTTAAAAAAATGGGAAAGTTAAAAACTACTTGCAAGGTTATAATTAAAATAATATTGTAAGTAATAAGGAATTCACACATTTCAAATATAATTTATTTAGAACATCTTTATAATAGTAACATAATTTTTCACACAAATATAAACTAACAAGTGTTGAGGCAGAGCAGTCTCATCGCTCTTTACAAAATTCTATGAAAAACGCTACAAATAGAAATTTAAACTAATATCAGTTGAATGAGAGCAGTTTCATCACTCTTTGCAAAATTTTATGAATAAATCTCGTCGACGAAGGAAACAAATATAAACTTGTAACTAATTAGTGTTGAGGCAGAGCAGTCTCATTGCCCTTTACAAAATTCTATGAAAAACGCTACAAATAGAAATTTAAACTAATATCAGTTGAAGGAGAGCAGTTTCATCACTCTTTGCAAAATTTTATGAATAAATTTCGTCGACGCAGGAAACAAATATAAACTTGTAACTAATAAGTGTTGAGGTAGAGCAGTCTCATCGCCCTTTACAAAATTCTATGAAAAACGATACAAATAGAAATTTAAACTAATATCAGTTTAATGAGAGCAGTTTCATCACTCTTTGCAAAATTTTATGAATAAATCTCGTCGACGCAGGAAAAAAATATAAACTTGTAACTAATTAGTGTTGAGGCAGAGCAGTCTCATCGCCCTTTACAAAATCTTATGAAACACATTACAAATAGGAATTTAAACTAATATCAGATGAAGGAGAGCAGTTTCACCACTCTTTGCAAAAATTTATGAATAAATCTCGTCGACGCAGGTAACAAATATAAACTTCTAACTAATAAGTATTGAGGCAAAGCAGTCTTATCGCCCTTTACAAAATTATATGAAAAATGCTACAAATTTAAACTAATATCATTTGAATGAGAGCAGTTTCATCACTCTTTGCAAAATTTTATGAATATATCTCGTCGACGCAGGAAACAAATATAAACTTCTAACTAATAGGTGTTGAGGCAGAGCAGTCTCATCGCCCTTTACAAAATTTTATGAAAAACATAAGAAATACAAATTTAAACTAATATCAGTTGAAGGAGAGCAATAATAAAACATAAGAAATACAAATTTAAACTAATATCAGTTGAAGGAGAGCAATATCATGACTGCAAAATTGTATGACTAAATCTCGTCGACGTAAAACACAAATTTAAACTTTTAAATAACATCTGTTGAAACAGATCAGTCTCATCGCTCTTTGCAAAATACTATGGAATAATGCTCGTCGACGCAGGAAACAAATATAAACTTCTAACTAATAAATGTTGAGGCAGAGCAGTCTCATCGCTCTTTACAAAATTTTACGAAAAACATAACAAATACAAATTTAAACTAATATCAGTTGAAGGAGAGCAGTATCATGACTGCAAAATTTTATGAAAAAATCTCGTCGACGTAAAACACAAATTTAAACAGAGCAACAACAAATATAAACTTATAGCTAATATCTGTTGAAACAGAAAAACCTCATCGCTCTTTGCATAATTCTATAGAAAAAGCTCGGTGGCGGAG